GGCAGTGCATTTCCCAAGGCTCCATAGCGTGTTAGTGCCCGAGCCAGGAACAGACCCTACTGCTCCTGACTCCCTGTTCCTGCCCTAATTACCAGAAAATTCCTCTCCTCCATGGCACAGCCAACTGGTTCCAATAACAAATCCAAGCTGTTGCAGAGATCAAGTCCATTTTTTTCACCACTTAACCCAAAAAAACATTTAATTTTCAAAACACAGGTTTGGCTTTTCACCAGAGAAAGGATTTGGTTTTCATTATTCATCTGGGTTTTTTGTTGGTTAGGTTTTTGGGTTTTTTTTTTTTCCCCTCTCTCTTTTTTTAAAAGCCAAACATTCAATCACTCTGTTCAATACAGAGTTCCCAGGCCAGGAGCACTGCAACTATCGTTACCCTATAAATCTTCATTATTCTTACTATAAATACACCCCTGTATTTTTCATTCTGTTATTTTTATGACTAAACATGGCACCTTTAGCAGACCTCAAAACGCTTTCCAGAATTAAGAGCCCTGAATCAAATCCTGTAGGCCTGATTTCTGAGAAGAAACACTTGTTTAAAAAAAAAAATAAATAAAAAATTGTAGCATTCCTTGGTGTAGATCCAAAGCAATAACATTGACCTATGGCTTTTCAACACTGCTTTAGTTATGCCCCTCTGTGGTGGTAAAGATAATATTGCTTTCCTCAGACACTGTCAGATTGTTACAGTGGTACCTTATGTTATCTATTCCTATAAGGGAATACGCCAAATCAGGATGAAATATATGTATTTTTAAACTGTGCCCACTCTAGATATGTCAGAACAAAAGATTTATGAAGAAGATTTAATGTTAACAGGTTCTTCTGGCACATGCAGTAATCACTGCTGGGCTAAAAAAGAAGATTAATGCACATAAAAATGACATTTGTCCTTTTTTTAAAGGCGGCAAGATATTATTTCTAGCTTTTCTTTTCACATGTTTGTTTTCCTAACCTGGAAGTTCAGATTCTGTGGAGGCTGGAAGATTCTCAGATGAGTAGAAAGTAACTGAAAATAGCTTTATCACCGAGTTTATGAGTGTAAAGGCTGATCTGCTGAAGGGAGAACCGAATGCTAATTAGATCCTTAAACTCTGTTTCTCATTCCCCATTTGGCACAAATGAGTAATTAACACTGTGGGGAAAGGATGCTTTTGTGGAAGAACTAAATCCCACCAGGCTCCCACTAAATCCCACCTTGTCCAGGAACCACACGAGCTCCATTTCATCAAAGCCAAAGAACACCTGAAAAACCACCCCACAGAGGGCTTGAAATGATCTCAATTTACCTCCTCTAAAATAGGAGAAAAGAGGTTGAAATTTAAAAATCATTAAAAAAAAAAACCAAAAAAAAACCCAAAAAACCCACAAAACAAAGCTCAAGATTGTGAAAACCTTTTGAGCTTTTAGGCTGAAAAAAAAAAAAAAAAAGGGGGAATTTCTACCTTTTCCTTCAGTTTGGCAGCATTCACTAAAACCAGAGCAAGCTCAGGAACAATTTTCTCCCTGCATCCCTGTCCGAGAGCCTGCTGAAAACCTCATCAGCAGAAAGAAGGAAGCTACAATTTACTTCTGGAACCCTCAAAACCAAAGAGTTCAGACAGCAAGGCTTGGTCCTCTTTAACCTTAGGAGGAAACTCTTCAAGATTCCCACCCCAATTCCCTGATCTGTGTTTGTTGGAATCAGAGAAGCAATCTAAATGTTTGACTGATTTCTCTGATTTTTTTTTTTTTTTAATTTCAGCAACAAATCACCTCCAAGAAAGCAGCTCTTGGTAAACTGGACTGCTGGGAGCTAAGGAAATATTCAGGTGGCTACAGGCTCTCTGCTCACCAAAATCATCTGACCTCCAAAACTGGTAGTTCTCCACCAATTCCCAAGAATTTCAGGCATTTACAGCATTTGCTGCATCCAGATATGCTCAGGTCAGCCTCACAGATTTAATATACCCTACAGTGTGCAAAAATACGGGTATCCCATCCTGGCAGAGGTGTGGATTTCATCTTATCACCCCTCCCCTCCCTCATTTGTTAGGGATGTTTGGGTTTTTTAAATATAAGGTTCAGATCCTTGGAAAATTCCCTTGAGGTCATCCACAAAACCTAGAAAAACCTCCTTGAAGTGTGTTTTGCTGGAAGTTCAGCACCTGCAGCAGAGTCAGAGGAGAGCAGATTCAGCCTCTTACCTTTCCCCACTGGAAGGCTGTCCTGAGCACAACCTACCCTTCCTCTTTGATTGCTGGGTTTATTAAATCTTCCTCCACAGCTCCAGAAGTTTGGTTGCTCTTCTGGCTCTCCTTTGGTCTCCAGTGTGTCCTGCTCTCCCTGGGTGCTCCAAGCTGGGAGCTCTGATGCCTCCCAGGGTGGCACAGATTAATCACCCCGTGTCTCACGTGACTTTCCTGTTAACACTTGCCAGATGAAAATAGTCCAAAATAGCACCAACAACTGAATCATAATCAGCTGTGATCCCCTAAAACCTCCACATCCTTCTCTGCTGTGCCACTACTGAGATGATTCCCACCCTTGTAAACCCACTCTGGTTGTCCTTGCTGTTGGAATGGTTGTCTAGGAGAACCTTGCTCTGCCTTTTCCAGACTTGTGGGGAGAAATGCACCAACAGTAAATGTTAATTCAACTGCACAAGCTGCTGGAGAGACACAAGAGATGAGGGAGCCCTGAGAGCTCCCCGAGGAGCCTCCCTGGTGGATCTCCAGCAGCATCTGAGCGAGCACATGACTTGCACCTCCTCCACAAACTGACCCCTGAGTCCCTCACGTGTTATTTTTCTGAGCCCTGACCATTCATGGGGCTGTGCAAAGACCTTTCCAGCAATCTGCTCTTGCTGCTGTGTTTGCAGCTCCGTTTTAAGGCTGAAGGCAGAGCCAGATGTCACATAACTGGGACCAGATCACCACGTGCTTCTGCTCTGCCACCCCATGCCCAGCTTTGCCATTGGCTCCACGACCCACCCAAGGCCATATTTTAATTTACAGAGTGTGAAAGACACACTCAGTGAAGAATAAACTGAACACTTCACATGCTGCTTGGAGCTTGGTAAGACTGGAGCTCATAGAAAGTGTCTTTAACTGCATTTTACAGAAGGTATTTAGAGAAACAAACCCTGAATTAGCCCTTTAACTCCAGGTGCCTGTTTGAAGTGCTTGGATTAAAACTTAAATTGGAGAGCAGCCCTTCTCTCACACATCCTGCACTGCTCCACACACACAGATTTGCCCACCTGAGTGCTGGGGGTGCAGCAGAGATCTGTACAAGCTGCTGCAGTGAAAACTCCTCAGCTGGTACTGCCACCTTCCAGCCCTGCTGTATCCAACAGGGATGCCCTGATGAATCCATCAGCTCTCAGCCTCCAGCTCCCCCTCTTTCCCTGCCAGCCTTGCACTGTGCCTTCCCCTGTGCTGGCTCTGATCAAACAAGGCACTTGCACGACCTCCTGGGTTTTCTGTTGCCTTTAAAATCAATTTGAGCAGACTGGGGCTTGTTTTCAGCAACATCAGAAGTGTTTGCATTGAGCCATGAGCTGAGCACTTTGGGAGTTACGCAGATCCTCACTGATGGGGTGGAAAAACTCATATATATTTATTTTACCTTAAAATATCCCACAGCTGACTGTCTATGGACTACAAACATCCCAGCAGATACCCCAAGAGCTGTCCCCAATCAAATATCCAGGCCCAGGATTAAATCTGTCCCAAGGGATCCCTATGGAGGGTGTAAACAAACGAGCCCTGCCAGGTAGTAAATTATTCCTGTGAATATCCAGAACACTCTTATTTGACCAATTGACATGTTCATAAATTCTCTGAGGGTGAATTCCCTGTATTACCAAGGGAGAAGACAAGAAACAGGCTTCCTTTTGACCCTAAATTACATCCACAATCTGAGCTGGACCTCGGTTGAATCGTGGCTCAGTGAGATACGTCAGTCTGCGATTCGATCCCTGTGGGGATGGATGGAGCCTCCAAAGCAATTCCCTCTGAGGAGGGAGCCAGGAACATCCCTCAGGAAAGATATGAAGTGGATAAAAACTACAGAGGCACGGGGATTGACTGATGGTGTGGGAATAAGAATGCAAAACCAGCAAGGGGAGCACATCTGCTCCTACAGGGGAAAACTGACAGCCCTGGGAATAAACTCCTCTGACCCCTCTTGCTCACTGATGTGTGTGGTTATTCCCCCCCCTGAACTCTGTGTGTTGTTGCTCACAGCTATCGAGCTCAGAAGCCACTCAAGCTGGAAATACATTCCTTTAAAGCAACAGGAATGGAGTGTCCTTGTCCTGTTTGGCTTTGCTGGAGAACGTCACAAAACCCACGGGGCAACACGAACATGGGACTGTCACATAAGTCACTTCACTTTTTCTTAAACACAAGGCAAGAGAGGACATCAGATCTCTCCCACTGCACTGTGTTGTTATACAACAGGCTGGGTCTGGACAAGAAAACTATCAGGCACAGATGTATCAATAATGAGCTTTCATTACCTCTTCTTTCAAAAATACCACTCAGTCAGAAACTGTTTGCTGTGAGATCCCAGTAGGAAAAGCAAATCTTATCAATAAATAAATTATAATGGTAAGTCTAAAACAATTTACAAATACCACACCGAAAATGACCTCAGATCTCCACATCACTTTGAGCTGCATTGTCTTCATCACATTTAAAAAAAAAAAAAAGGGTTTGATCAAATTTTAAGACATACTATCTCAGGCAATAATGGAAAACAGATTTCATGGCGTATTTTCTCCTGCATTACTTCAATTACTTTCAGAATCTCAGAAGCTATTCCAAACTCAAACTCTTGATTTATACATATAATTTTTTTCAAATTTTATTTATTATTTCAATTATCCCCGGCCAAATTCATGCCTGATCTCAGTCCGTTGGCTACAGTTGCCGAAGACAGGGGATGGACTTGGCACCTGCAAGACCAACAACAGGGAAGGTTCTAACAAAGTAACATCCAGTACTGAGGGCACAAAAACTATTTGAGACGGTTTCAAGCTGAAGCTAAAACCAGCAAATTCAAATTAAAAACTCCCAGGCCAGGTTCTCATGCTCAAAACCATTAACTTTAAAAGCTGAGGCCGCTCAGGGCCTCCTCCCAGGAGGTTCTGAGGTGACCCTTAACTCCAATCAAAGTTACTGAGGATTAAAGAGCTCCAAAGCTCCCAGGATTGGGCCCTTCCACAGGCTAAAGCTCCCAGTGACAAGCTTAAAAAATGGGCTCAGGGATCACCCCTCCAGTGGATTCCAGTAAACACTACCTGGAGTTCACTCAGCAGTTTTCAGGAGCAGGTTCCTGGACCCAGAAATTCCCTGCTGTCCCAGCAGAGGGAACAGGGGACAGAGATGTTTTGGCTGCTGACACCCACACACAGGACAGAGGAATCCCCACGTCTTCCTTTTTAGGGCCCCTTTGCCAGTTCAGGAATTTTTAAAGGGGAATAAACAGCTTCTCAGGTAATAACATTCTTCTGGCAGTGTTTTTGCTCTGTCACAAGGTTAGGTGCATAAACAGCAATCACTTCAGATAAACACTGAATATAAACCTCGTACTTTCTCCTGGTCCAACACACTCACATGATCCTGGCTTCCTTCTGCATTTTCCTTGCCCAACATCCATCTCTATGGATTATCCCAGGAAAAGCAACTTCAGTATTACTCAGCTGGAAGGGAAAATAGAAAGGGGTTATTAAAGGCACTGGACTCACTTCATGAAATGACAAAGAACAAACTACTGGCTTTGAGCAGTGGTAAGCAACAACAGAGGATGAGTGACAGCTTTGTGGGCTCTGCACAGCAGAGCTTGGGGCTAACCAGTGGATAAATGGCCATGTTGGGAGGGAAAAAACCATCCTGGGAGCTGACACTTGAAAGGCAGACTCAGCAGGGACTTCAGAGGGTGAATTTGCAGGAGACCACATTGCCAGTGACACCGAGGCACAGAAAGTGCTACTTGACAACCCAACGTCTTTATTCAGCTGAGCTGTCAGCTGTTGGTCTTGCTGGCTGGCTGATTTCATGCCAGATTTTACAGTGCTTTAGGGAAGAGCCTGGAAAAACAACCTGAGGGTGCTCTATGGACTCAAAAATAAGAAAACAAATAAAGCAAACTGTAAATATGTTTTTAATCTTATGTCTTGCACACCCAAGAGGTGATGTTCCAGAGCAATCAGTCCTGGTCGTGCTGCAGCATGATGGGAGCTGCAGATCCTGCTCAGCATGAGGATGAAGGCTTTCCACAGTCTCCTGCAGGAATGCAGGCAGGATCGATGTTCACCACACTTTTTATCCTCAGGGAAACCCACTCCTGGTTGCTTTCACACATTAGTCACTGGAATGGGGATGCTCCGGGGCAAGGTTTAAGCAGACACACACACACATCGCTTCGGAAGGAGTTTCAGAATCGATGCTGCCCAATTTCAGCACCTATAAACCCGCATCCGTGACACCGGCGGGCTCGTGCTGCCCTCTCATGGGACGGGAGCGGCGGAGCCACAGCCTGGGATCGCCCGGAGCCTGAGCCACGGAGGCAAAAACAACTCGGAGGGTTTGGAGTGTCCCTGTCATCGCCGGGTGGATTTATGGCGTGCACAACCCCAGCCAGGGATTCAGCCCATGCCCGGCGTTCCCTAAGAGGGCACGGGGCTCACACAGCGCAGCTCCCGTGACCAGGAACGGGTGATCCCGAAATGCCAACCACCTCCGCCGGGCAGGACTCGGCTCTGCTCCATCGTAACGAGGGGGCTCATTTCTTCCAGGAATTGCCACCCTTGCTGCCAAAGGCCTGCGGGAGAGAACAGGAGAGAACTCAACTCCGACCCCACGTGCTGGGCTGATGACCCCGAGGATGGATGTGCCCTGCCTCTGAGAACAGGCAGCGGTCCAAGCTCAGAGCCCCAGTTTGGGTTTCAGGGCTTCTAACTCAGCTTCTGCCCAGTTGGATGGAAGGGAGCTGGGATTTTGGCCTCTCCCAAACCTCCTCATCACAAAAAAAAAAAAAAAAAAAACCCTCACACTGATCCTTTGGCCTTGTCACGGCATGGAGCTCTGTCAGAGGAGGGTCAGGTTGGATCTCAGGGAAAGGTTCTTCCCCCAGAGGGTGGTTGGGCACTGAACAGGCTCCCCAGGGCAGTGGGCACAGCCCCAAGGCTGCCAGAGCTGCAGGAGGGTTTGGGCAACGCTCTGAGGGACAGGGTGGGATTGTTGGGGGGTCTGTGCAGGGCCAGGGGTTGGACTGGATGATCCTTCTGGCTCTCTTCCAATTCAGAATATTCTGTGATCTTTTTCTAATATCTAATCTGAACCTCCCCTGTCACAGCTTCAGGCCATTTCCTCTTGTCATTGCAGGTACTGTAGAAGAGACCGGTCCCCACCTCACCAAAACCTTCCTCCAAGTGATTGTAGCTGCCCCAAACCCTCCTCAAGGAGCCCCAAATCTTTCTCAAATCACCCCAAACCCTTTTCAAGCTTCCCCAAACCCTCTCTAAGGAGCCCCCAACCCCTCTCGAATCCCCTCAAACCCTCCTCGAATCACCCCAATCCCTCACCAAGCTCCCCCGGCCCCTCTCTCCCCTCACACGCCCTCGCTGCCGCGGCGCTCGCTCCTCCTGCCCGCAGGGGTCGCTGCGGCGGCGGGGGCGCCGCTCTCTCCGCCCGCCCGGGGCCGCGGAGGAGGCGGCGGGGCCGGGCCGGGCCGGGCCGGGCGGGACCGGGGGAGGGACCGAGGGCCCGGGGCACGGAGGGACCGGGGGTGGGGCGGAGGGAGGGACGGCGGCGGCGGCAGCGGCGGGGCCGGGCCGGGAGGCGGAACGCGCGGCCCCGCTGAACCCGCCGAGGGGCCTGCGGGAGCAGCATGGCCGCCAGCCTGTGGATGGGGGACGTGAGTGTCCGGCCGGGACCGCGCGGCTTTGTGAGGGGAGGGCGGCGGGCGGCGGGAGCGCGGCGGGGCCCGGGGAGCGCGGGGGGCACTGACCGCCTGGGACCGGCACTGACCGGCACCTCACACCGCTGGCTGACACCCTCACACCGCTGGCTGGCACCCTCACACCGCTGGCTGGCTGACACCCTGGCACCGATCGGCATCTTCACTCTGACACCCTCACACCGCTGACACCCTGACACTGACTGGCACCCTCCGTCTGGCCCCCTCACATTGACTGACTGACTGACACCCTCACTCCACTGACACCCTGACTGACTGGCACCCTCCGTCTGGCCCCCTCACACCGCTGACTGACTGACACCCTGGCACCGATCGGCATCTTCACTCTGATGCCCTCACAGCAGCCGGCTGATACCCTCACACCACTGACACCTGCACACTCACTGGCACCTTTAGTCTGATACCCTCACACCACTGCGTGATAGACACCCGGACACTGATTGACACCCTGACACCGATTGGCACTCTCACTCTGGCACCCTCACACCGCTGACACCCTGACACTGACTGACAGACACCCTGGCGCTGACTGACACCCTCACTCTGGCACCCTCACTCTGCCTGACTGACTGACACCCTCACACTGCTGACACTCTCGCTCTGGTGTCCTCACACCGACCGACTGACACCCCCACACTGACTAACACCCTCACACCAATTGACACCCTCACTCTGACTGACTGACACCCTCACACCGACTGGCACCGTCTCATTGACTGTCTGACACTCACAGCAGCTGACTGACACCCTCACACTGCTGACACTCTCACTCTGACACCCTCACACCTTCACACCAACCAACCGACTGACACCCCCACACCACTGACACACCCTGACAGCCCCACACACACTCAGGCACACCACAAACTCCCAAACTGACTGACACTCCCCACACACACACACTCCCCTGTGCATGCTGACACACTCACACAGGCAGGCACACACACACACACACACTCACAGACACAGCCCCCAGCCCGACAGGCACATTTGTGAGCAGTTCACACACGCACACACAGTTCACACACACACCCACACCCCTCAGGGTGACCCTCGTTGCCTGCTCACAGCCACACTCGTGCCACTTACACCAGTGTCCCTGGCGGGCAGGCACTGACAGGTCTCACCCTTTCACGCTCCAGGAGGCCCTTACACACCCCCAGCACTCACAGCCTGTACCCTTGCATGCCTCGAGGATTTATGTGCGGGTTTATCTGCTCACCTGCTTGTAGGCACTTAACGTGCTCATGTGCCCTGAGGCACTTGTGTATTTGTACACACCTCTCCAGGATTCTCCCTCACAACCTGACCCCCCACACGCACACCTGTGGGTGCACTCACACCCTCACAGGCGTTTGCACTCTCCTACATGCACTCACACTCAACAAGCACTCCCACACCCCGGGATTTCCCTCATTCCTGCCTCCGTGTGCACCTGGCGGGAAGAAGCACCCGTGAGAAGCACGCTCAGGGGCGCTTCCTCACCCAGGGATGTCTGGCTGCCTGTTCACCTGCACACCGTGGGCACACCCACAGAGATGCACAGCCCACAGTGTGCCTTGTCCCTGAGGATCCCACTGGAGGCTTCTCTCACACACACACACGCACTCAGCACACCCACTTTGCCTCAGCATTGCACACTTACGTGACACATCCTGGGTGCGAGCAGACCCTCCCACACAGAGGGTTATCTGCCACCTCTCCATGACCCCCCTCTTCTTTTTCATCACCCCTCTCACACGCAAGATTCCCTTTGATTCACACACGGCCACATCCAAGTAGCCTGTTGCCTTTTACAACTCCAGCTTTCCTTTACACTCCCCCAGGATCACCCTGCACAGCAGATCTGTGGACAGAGTGGTGCTGCCTCCTGCTCCTCTGGCACGTGTGACAGAGCCAGCTCTGCTTCACACTCGGGCCCCCACAGGGCATCTGCTGCCTCTTACACACGGGAGCGCAGCATGGCCACCCGTTTTCACACCCTGCACCTTCTGCCACCTGGCACCTGGCAGACACACAGACACATTTGAGGGCTCTCCATTACCACAGGGCCACCTGTCTTACCCGCAGAGGTGCGTGTGCTTACATACATGGAGCTAGAGAGATTCCCTGTGTGTATTTTACAGCTCTGTGTTACGCACACAGTGCTCCCCATCAAAAAAACCCTTCATTTCTGTTCGTCCACTCCCACAGAGAGGTGCCCTCTTCCCTCAGGCCCTTCATCATGCATTTAGCTCCAACTCCAGCACTGTGTCATACTTTGTGAGTCCTTCACACCACACAGACACTGCCCCCTGCACCGCTCCCCACACCCCCTGCCCTGCCCGGTGCCACCCTCCCCTGTGCCACGACACGGTCAGTGCTCCCACGGGCAGGACGAAGCGGGGCGCGATCCCAGGGCTCCCCTCCCCGAGTGCTGCCCCACTATCTCTGGGGTTGTGCGGGGCAGACCCGGCTCTGCAGCCCCCTGCCCCAGCTCCAGGGGGGCCGTGTCACCGTGTCCCCTGCCTCATGCCACCCAGGGCCGTGCCACGGCTGTGTCCCTGCAGCGCTGGCCCGGAGAAGGAGCCCGGCACCTCCTCCTTCTGCCCCGCTCCCTGTAGCGAACGCTCAGTTTGTTGCTGTTTGTTTCTGAGTGGCTTTTGTCCTTCTGTGAAGCTCCCTGTTCTCTGAAATTCATGCTGTCTCTTGGGTTCCACTTTGCAGACTGTTGAGCCTGGTTCATGCATGCCTGCTGGTTTTGAGTGGCATCGACCCTCTTAAATGAGTCTTCTTTTTGAAGTGTAAGGGTAAAATCCTTCTCAATAATGTTTTAACTGCTTAGGGGGAACATTGACACATAAATTCTCTTTTTTGTAGATGCCCTGATCTAACTTTTTTCTTTTTTTTTTCTTTTTTTTTTTTGCTTTTATAGCTGGAACCCTATATGGATGAAAACTTTGTTTCAAGAGCCTTTGCCACCATGGGAGAACTTGTACTGAGTGTAAAAATCATTCGAAACAGGTTGACAGGGTAACTGTTTATGTTTGTTCTCCCAGTGCATTTGGATCGAAGCCTCACCGTCGGTCCTTCCTTGTCAGAGTGATTTTTCCCTTTGAGCTTTTCACCATTGCTGCCACCAATATGGGAATATTGATGAGAGCAATGGGGAGGGCACTGCTGGCTCTTCAGCCTCCCCTCAGCAAACAAGGCTTGGCCCTCATCCTGGAGTGCTCCAGCACTCAGATGGAGCAGTGTATGTATCCCATTCCATCCCCCTGGGAATTGCACCTCCCAGCTGAAGGCTTTGGTGACCGGTCTGTAGTGCAGCTGCATGGTGCTGGCAGAGGTGGGAAGCCTGACTTGGGGCAATATGAGACCCTTTTGAGTTCATTTGGGATAAAATAAGCGGCTGGATGCAGAATAAAGTAGATTCATTCCAATTCGTTATTCTTTTAAGTGTTGTAATTTCAGTTTTCAGTTGTTTAAACTTGGGTGGAAAAATTGATGGTCAGTGAAAGTAGGAAGTAAACTGTGAGCAAAACCATTTTGTGTGTGCTTATGATTTATGGTAAGTAGGGGCTATCCCTTTACTTGAGATCCAAAATTTCTGCCTTCTTTTTGGTAGCTAGTGTATGTGCTTTTAAAAAGAAACTGTTCCAAGTATTGCAATGATAACAAATCTCCTACCAGTTATCTAAAATACAAAATTCCTCCTCGAGCATGTTTTAAATGTATAACCTTTCTCTCTTCTCTCCTGTGTTGTATGTTCAGAATTCCAGCAGGCTATTGCTTTGTAGAGTTTGCAGATCTAGCTACTGCAGAGAAATGTTTACACAAAATCAATGGAAAACCGCTTCCTGGGGCTACACCGGTGAGTCAATGGGATCAACGAGCTGAGAACCAAAACTGGGAAGGGACAGATAGTGGAGAATCTGCCTTTTGAGTGATTACAGACAAATTCAGTAGTTGGCAAAGTGGGATTCTCCTTTTCTCTAAAGTAATGAACATAAAACTGTTAATGTTCTTGCTCAGAAAATTGGTGAGAAAAATCACTGATTTCTGTGTGAATGTCCAGATAAAATCCAGGTGGAGAAATGTTGTGGAGTGTGGTTTTTCGTTTCTGAGCATCTCTGCTGTTACCAAGTTGGACTAATGAGAAACCAGAGAAGAGCAAGCTAAAAATTGGATTGGATATGGAGTAGACCTGCCACGGTCCTTCCATCTCTCTCCATTTGTAGAATCATGGAATTGTAGAATGGTTGGGGTTGGAAGGGACCTTAAAGCCCGTCTCATTCCACCTCTCCCCTGGGCAGGGACACCTTCCACCAGCCCAGGTTGCTCCAAGCCCCGTCCATCCTGGCCTTGGACACTTCCAGGGATGGGGCAGCCTGAGACAGCAGTGTTCAAGATGAACTTGCAAGTTCACTCTTGAGTTTTGAGTAACTTGGATTTGCGAGAGAAACGTGACTTTTAAGCCTGACATTGTTCTTGGCCCTTAGCAAAGAAAAGTTATTCAACCCTCTTTACAGCAGAGAAGGAACCAAAGAATTGGATGGTGGCAGCACATAACTAATGTCTCCTGTACGTGAAAGCTGGGTAGTTTGAGGAGAAGAGGAGGAGCAGTCGCAGGGTCTAATTTTAGGAAGTTGACTCAAATGTGCGGTAGATTAAAACGGGACGGCTGACACAGCTGTCTGTTGTACCCACAGGAGTTGGCTGCAGTAGCTGGGGTGACTGGTTCATAAAGCAGCTCTAGAATCACCTCAGTTATGGTGTGATCCACAAGGTAAATGGGTTCCTATTTCAGGGTAGTTAATACCCCACGGTAGGAAACTGGGAAGTTCAGGTTGAGCTATTTGGTCAGCGTTCCTCAGAGGGTGACGTGCCCCGTTAAAAAGGATCTGATGAGAGGCCTGGAGGTATCTGTTTTCACGTGTTTGCCCATGATTAAGGCAAGCTGATCATCCTGGATGCTTTCTGTAGTCACTGGAGAGACAAAGAGAGCAGCTCTTGCAAGGAATAAGATGATAATGGAAGTTTGGGGTTGGGAATACCCCTCTTTCTCCACAGTTTTGTTTTAAAACGTGGCGTTGCTTAGGGGGGTGATTTGCATAACACACAGGGAGAATTACAGATGTCAGGCAGAGATCCAGTGCAGCCCAAAACACTGCACTCAGCAGGCAATGCCCAGCTCATCCCTCGCATTTAGAGACTTTTGTTTACAGAAAACTGAGTGTGGCTTTTATTTATTATTAAATACTGAATCAGCCAGAGGAATAACAGAAAGCCCTGGTGCTGCTGCTGCTGCCTCTGTTTTCCAGAACTGGTGTCCCCAATTCCCATCTGAGTGGAAGTGCTCTCAGGTGTCTCATTGGTTTTAAACCCAGAATATTTATAGTGAAGAGGGAGATCCAAAATAAAAAGATGCAAGTGCTTCAAATTGGAATCTAAATTTTCCAGCATGGTAGATTCGGTGTTGGTGTTAAATCACAAATGTCCGATAGCTCTGCTGTCATTTCATTTCCAGACCCTAAAGCTCTAAGTAATTCAATATTTTTTATTAGTACCTCCTATTTAGGTTCTGATTTTCATTATTACATCTGTGCTGACATAAATAAATCATCCTTAATCCCTTAACTGGGTGGTCTGACAGCACTTAAAAAGTCGTATAAAATCAGCTGATTGCGTTTGCTCCTCATTGCTTGAACTCACATGGCAACATTTGAACGGACGGGTTCGTTCTTTGCCTCCTTTCAGGCGAAGCGATTTAAATTGAATTATGCAACGTATGGAAAACAGCCCGACAACAGGTGAGTGCCCAGGATTTAAATACTCATTTTTACCCTGTTTAATGTCCCTTTGTCGATTGCCTTGCAAAGGGTATTCAAAATATGTAAACCCATGAGTTCATCACTGCCACTGTGGAGGGAGGAGAACTTCGGCTGCCAGTTTTGTGCTTTGCCTCCTGTGTGATTTATGCAGTGTCTTTTAAGGTATTCAAACTTTGTACCATCAAAGTATCTGATTGACACATTATAATTTAAGGTCTGTGTGTTGGAAATAGGAAATCTGTAAATGAGAGATTAATATTTTCTTGCCGTGCTAGAAATCCTGTAAGAAATAAGCAATTATCTTTAAATAAAAAGCAGTGTTGAGTAGATTGGTTGTGCTGCTTGAATTAACTTGAAAAAGCAGTGTCAATGGTTTAAAAAGCATATTAATATGATATATTATATGTATATAAGTATAATTTTAGTTAAGCAGCTCAACTGGTGACACTTTAAAATCTCCATTAAATGGTCTTTTAATATCACTTTTCTCCAAGGTGAAATGTTTAGGCTAAATGGCAACTGTCACTCGGCACTTTTTTTGTATGATTGTACTTAAGAAGTTTTCTTTTCATCTCTTTAGTCCAGAATATTCCCTTTTTGTGGGAGACCTGACTCCTGACGTGGATGATGGGATGTTATATGAATTTTTTGTTAAAGTTTATCCATCGTGTAGAGGTGGAAAAGTTGTTTTGGACCAGGCAGGAGTATCCAAGTAAGTCCTCTTTTATTCATTCTTTTCTTTCACTGCACATGCAGCAACAGAAAAGATAAAATGCAGCAAGGGGGGAAAAAAAAGAATAGTTTTATCAGCTTAGATTTTAGTAACGTTAAAATACAAATTCTGCTGTTTTCTTGCGTTTTGATAGTCAGCCTGAGGCCCTTTGTGTGTAACTGCACTTCTTAAGATGCTGAAAAATGCTTTAAGTAAGCTGGAAACACTCTCCTCCTGCACTCCCAGGTGGAATTGTGCTATTATTTAGGCTATTCCTGCGAGAGGGTTTTATTTCAAACAGGGTAGGGCACACAAAGCTGTGATTCACTGTCAGGCTCTCAGCAGCAGTCACCTTGTTTGTCTCGACTGAAAGTGTCTTGCCAAAAACAGATACCAAAAAGCTGGATTTCTTAATGTAATTAAAGCATTTTCTAAACAGCACAAAACTGAACTGTATTTTCCTGGGGGAGGGAGCAGTTGCTGAGGCCCCTTGCACCTCAACCTCTTGCAGAGCTGCTCTGTCACTGTTGAACACTTGTGCTGTCACTGCTGCCTCACATGGCACTGACACTGCTGGGTGCCTCCTCTTCCTCCTCCTCCTCCTCCTCAGAGGTGTAAACCCCCCAGACCCTGTTTTGCTGCACCTGCCCCAGTCTCTGCCTACAGAACAGGTGATGGGTGCTGCAGTTTGGGCTGTGAGCTGGGCTTTGGGAACTGCTCAGAAGTGCAGATCCTCAAGGAAAGGGAATCTGGGGTAGCTTGGGAAGTGAGGAAGGAGCAGGGACTTGGAGTCCTCTTCCTGGGAAGAGCAGAGCTGTCTCCCCTGGCCGTGCCAACGCGTTGCTGCCAGGGGCTTTGTTGGGACTTGTGCAGTTACTCAAAGCTGAGGCAGCTGCAGGTGTCAGGGTGATGTGAGAGAGGAGATTTGGGTTTGTGGACGTGCCCAGTGAAGGCCTGGCCCTTCCAGCCAGGGCTGGTGGATCAGGAAGGCCTCCTCCCAGCAGGAGAGCAGCCTGGAGCTGCAGTGCTGAGCCTGCTCCTCTGCTTCCTGCTGAGGGTGCAGGCCTGGGGGATTTTCCAAACTGCAGGGATAGGACAGAATGTCTGCCAGGGAGGTCCTGGCCACGAAGAAATGATCTCTTGCTGGGTTTTCTCCTGGCTTAGCCATTGGTGTGGAAAAGCTAAGTTTCTGGAAGAGTTGGAAGAATCGCTGTCTCCCTTGCTGCACCCACCATCAATTCCTGTGCCCTACATCCAGCTCTTCATCTGTCTGTCTCTGTTTTGGAACTGCCAGTCTTCCCAGTTTCCCTCACACACTCCCAGTCCCATCCAGAAGGCTGCAGGAGTCTCTGTGGCACCTTAGAAACTTAGTTGGTTTTGTGTGTGAGCATCTTAAACTGCATTAGAAGTTGACTTGCACTGCCTTGATTTGCCACAGTCCTTTGGCAGAGGGCAAGTTAAACACAATGTGGGCCCATGTAGAGTTTTGCTCGTGCTTAATTATCCAGTTTGTATGTAGATAAACCTGAGCTTTGATCTGGTGTTTTTGTGAGGAGGACACAGCCATACCTGTGTATTTGTATAAAAATAGATGTTTGGACTCGTGCTGGCCAAGATCTTGAGTTTTCTGGGGCACAAACTGCTCTGGAACAGCTTCCAGTGGGGACCTCCCAGGAGCAGTAGGTGATGCTGCTTTCCAAATAACACATTACTTGGTGTTTAGGAGTTCCCACAGAATAATAGATAATACATTGTAAATTTACACCCTTGCTTAGGGCTCACTCTTTTGCCCAGCTAGATAAGCCCTTCCCTCCCAAACTCCTTCCTTGGCTTAGATGGATTCCCTTCCCCTCCCACACCTAAGCCTTTGATCTTTGTGCTGCGTGAGGCAGCCCATCCCATGCTGGGATCCTGGCACTGCCCTCCTGGGTGCTGTTGCGTCGCTTCTGACTCACTGCAGCACCAGAATATCCCACGCCAAGAACCGCTGGGATCGGAGGGGGCTGGAGTTTCCCCTCTGGCTGATGTGCAGAGCTACCACACCACGGTGTTAACACAGAGTCCAGGGGTCCTGGCTGTGCTGTGCCTGTCCCAGCTGTGATCTCAGAGCAAGGTTTTAGCTGCCTGATGTTACGAGCTCGTTTCCATCCCCACTTTGGGAAGGGCAGAAAGCCTGTTTGAATGTATTCCCGTTGAGGAAGAACTTGATTGGCAGGCACATCTCACTGATCTTGGGGAAAAGCAGTGTTTCCCTTCACAGTGGGGCACTTTGGGATGCAAGCAGTGCCTGTGCCTTGTCAGCCCTGTGCTGACTTGCAGCTCTTTGAGATTATCAGTATCCTCCCAGCAGAGATTTGGGGCTTTACCACTCACTGTCTGCTCGTGCATTTCGACATAGCTTGTGTCAGCTCCCTTCCAATTCCCCACGATCCACTGGCAGGGAAACTGCTTTATGTTTGTCAAGCCCTTAAAAGCACCGCTGGAGCTTGGACCTGTGGCTTCAGGCACTTTGGAAAAGCATCTGGCAGGCGGAATCGTTTCATCTCTCCCCAGAGCAGGGACAACAACCCGAACGAACGCGTTTCGTTCGCTGCGTTTCCCAAGCCGATCCAAAATTCTCCATGAATGACTTTTAAGACGTGGCCTTGGCTTTTTTTGGGTCGGTTTTAACGTGGTTTTTATTCTGTGTCCCTGCAGAGGTTATGGGTTTGTGAAGTTCACAGATGAGCTGGAGCAGAAGAGAGCACTGACAGAGTGTCAGGGAGCTGTGGGGTTGGGCTCCAAACCTGTACGATTGAGTGTGGCTATACCAAAAGCGTGAGTATAAGAGCAGCCAGGTGTTCATTAGGAGGCATCACATCTGCTTTTAAATGTCTTTTTAGTGTATTTGGGTACATTTCCTGGATGTTTTCCATCACAAAGTGAAGGAATACCCCTGATAATATCAGGGGAGTATCAGAATGCCCAGGAATTCAGAGAAATTATAACATTAGCTCAAGACTAAGCATTTTACACTGTTTTTGATTGTATACATTATAAAATCCACACACATGTACCCACTCTGTAGTTAAATATGACTGTTTTAAAGTGTGTATTCCTTTGCATTAAATTGAAATAACCTAAATCTGCTTATTGATGTCTGGATAGCAAAGCTCAATTACCTTGCTAATTCTATTATGATGTCTACTAAATATAAGTATTTTGGGGCAGGGATTAACTTTTTTTTCTGTGTTTGTTCAGAACCTGATACAATGAGATCCTGGTCTGACTTGGGGCTCGTAGCACTAGGGTAATACGAATCATAGTAATTGCTCCCTATTTGAATAATATTTAGATTTTCAGAAGTCTTGGGGGGGGAAAAGAAAGAGAAAAGCAGAAAAAAGGGGTGTATTGTGGTGAGAAGATTGATGTTTCCTTCCTCCTGCTTCTCACTAATTTCATCACTAGCTTTTTACGTGTGACATACCTTCATTTTCAAATGATATTTGCCATCTCATTTCAAATCTTGATGGTCAGGTGGGATTCCAAGTTCCTTGGGAATGCTGCCACTTCATGGCGAGGAATGGGAATTTTAGTCAGCTCACAGGGTACTTAAGTTTATTTTTTGATTACTTGTAGTTCTTTTTACTTCATGACCTCTTCCAACTGTGTGCATTGAGGACCACTCAGTTCAGTGAGAAAGGGGACAAGTCATTGCTTTTTTCCATTGGTTTCCTACGGCAGAAGGAAGAGGGTTTTGTCCATTCTTGTTAAAGAAAACTCCAGGTTTTCTGCAAGGCTTTAAGTCTTTAACTCTTCATGTAAAGCAAGATTCAGTGCCTTGCCTCAGGAAGCTGCAGATTAGCCAACTTCATCCTATTTATCAGAAGAAAAAGAAGGGGCCCAAGAATCTGGACTGGGGTTCAGGATTGTTCTAAAACTGAGTCTCGTGGTCCTGAACTCTTCCCTTCCCAAAGCCAAGAAGTGACCCCAAATTAACTCCTATAGAATGAAAGCAATGCTTATTAATGAAGAGGAAGATGAATACCGGAAAGGGCGTTAAATTTGAACCACTTCTTTCTTTATGCAAATGTATGCAAATGATAAATATCGCTGCAGTAAATAGGGACTATATTTTAAAGACTGAAAACTGCATGTTAGACTAAGCCTTGTCTTACAATGCCAGATTGTACCTTAAGCTATTTCACTGCTTTTTTTTCATACTTGCTCTGCTCTATTTGCAACTCACTCCGTGCTTTGTTTTTTGAAGTAACCGGGTAAAACCAATGGAGTACAATCAGATGTACAACTACGGCTACAACCAGTATTACCAACAGTATCACAACTACTACGCCCAGTGGGGGTACGACCAGAACACAGGCAGTTACAGCTACAGTTACCCCCAATACGGCTACACACAGAGCACCATGCAGGTAGGGCAGCCCAGAATCGCCCCAGAGCTTGCCAGTGGGGATGGGAACGTTCTAGCTTCAAGCTCTGAGCATCACAGAATGTCCTGAGCTGGAAGGAACCCACAGGGATTATGGAATCCAACCCCTGGCCCCACACAGACAGCCCGAGAATCCCACACTGTCCATGAGTGATGTCCAAACCCTCCTGGAGCTCTGGCAGCCTTGGGGCTGTGCCCACTGCCCTGGGGAGCCTGTTCAGTGCCCAACCAGCCTGTGGGGGAAAGAATCTTTTCCTAAATCCAGCCTAACCCTGCCCTGACACAGCTCCAGCCATTCCCTGGGGGCTGTCCCTGCTCACCCAGAGCAGAGATCGGAGCTGCCCCTCAGGAGGAGCCGCAGCCCCTGCTGAGCTCTGCCCTCAGTCTCTTCTCCAGGCTGAATAGACTAAGTGATCTTAGTACAGACCTCTCAATAATGAGTTCTTAACAGAGCTGCTCTGTGGTGTTTAGTAGAACCTGGTGTGTCCTGTTGCCTTATGTGGGGTAAAATTCTGCCCCTTATACTAGGTAAGGGCACAGGGGGTCTCTTAATACAGTTGTCAGGGTAGAAGGGTTCTCTTGGTACAGGCAGTGCTCAGACAGCCTTCTGGGATCCTTCCTAAGGCTTGTTTTAAAGGACAGAGCACATCAAAACAGCCACCCCCCTTCACCCCAGGAATTGCAAGAACTGCTGCCTCTGTCAGAGGTTTAGTGTGGGATCTCCCCCGTGGAGTGTTGGGAGTGGAACACAGGCTTATGTGTGAAGAATTCTGTTGTAATCACTCTGATATAAAAGTCAGTCTCTGACAGTACCAATCAACAGGTGATGCTTGTAAAAGAAAAGGTGATTATCTGCTGTCCTAAGGGGTTTGTTTCTCCTTGCAGACATATGAAGAAGTTGGGGAGGATGCACTGGAAGGTACGTTCCTCAAGTTCCATACTGAAGTTGTCTGTTCTTTCTCCACTGACCAGAGACAGACTTTCCCAATTTGTCCCCTATTTCAGTGTCTGCCATCCCTTTATCCCTGGGTAAATCTGAGAACTTTGCCTTTCCCCCCCCACCCCTGCAGATCCCACGCCTCAGCTGGACGTCCACGAAGCAAACAAGCAGTTCATGGAGCAGAGCGAAGAGCTCTACGATGCCTTGATGGACTGTCACTGGCAGCCTTTGGACACTGTCTCCTCAGAGATCCCAGCTGTGTTATAGCCTTGTTGCTGAGGCACTGTGGAATATCCCACCAGTGCACTCCGGACTGTTCCGTCGCCCCCGGATCCTGCGGGATCAGGGGTGGCCCTTTCCCCTCCCAGGCCTGGGACTCGGAGTACAGGAGGGCTGTGGCCCCTTTTCCTGTACAGAACAAGCATCGTAGGAGCATCATGGTGACCTTGATTCATGGTGAAAATTAGAACTGCAACAGTTTTAATTCCTTTTTTGTCTTGAAATGAACTCTTGATACTTGTTGGGAATTGTAATTTATAAACCTTCGACGAGGTGGCACAGGGGAGAGACTCTACTCCACCCTACAATAAAAAAGTTGGTCTTTTAAGTAAAAAATTACCCTTTGCATTTTGGTTCCTGCCCATCTTTCTGGTTTTGCTGCCCACTCAACTTGTCTGCAGCCATTTGGCCCAGCGCTCGTGAATGTGTTACTTTTTAAAAAACAACAACAACAAAAAAAATCATTGTTGGATGCCACTGAAAGATCTCAAAAGCTTTCTAGTGACTGGATAAGGTTTCTGTAACTTGAGCACGGGAGGAAAAGTTGTGTTCTGGTTAAGCTAAGCTGTGATCATGAGCTAGAAAGCTTGGCGTTCTTAAACAACCTACCTGAAGAGCACTTTGGAGAGCAAAGACAGAAAGGAGTGTTAAGAAAACTACAGACCAATGCCTTTTACTTGGTGATCTCTTGCACACCTGACTTGCTCCTCCACCTGTGCATGAGGAAATAATTCCCCCTCACCCAAGCAGTTTGAAAACACTTCAACCAGCAACCCTATTTAAATGTTATTTTGTGTATCATGCCTTTATTTTTTTATTGGTCTCGTTAAGATGTTGAGATTTTGTAGCGTCTTCCACTGCCCTGCCAGAGGGAAACTGAAGATCTTGCAGCAAAAACGGGTCAGAGCAATCTCACTGATATATTGTGCAACAAATTGTTGTGAGCCTGGAAAGCAGTTTTTCTACTGGATGTTGTATAAGCTGGGTGGACAAGCAATATAAAATAAGCTGATATTATGTTGCGTTAGAGGGTGAAAGTGAAAATAATAGCACTTATGTACATGTTATAAGCCCTTTTCAGGCTTTTGTGCCTTAAAACTCTTGGAGAAATAGGAACAGAGAAAACTACCTGTAATAAATGTCTATCCAAGGAGTAGTTTGGTAACTGAAATTGCTGCTGCCGAGCGTTTCGTTGCCTCCCTGCCCATGTCGATGCAGAGATTTGCCACAAGGTTTAAATACTTTGATAAAGCTACTTCTGCTACACCTTTGTTTGTGTCCATAATTATGATCTGTTTGCCAGTCTGTGGTTTTTTTTTCCTCAACAACTGCACCTGGGGATGTGAGGGACTGGAGTTCGGTCGTCCCTGAGCGAGTGGAGCCGGAGGACTGCTGGGCTCCTGCCTTCTCATCTGCTGCGAATTCTTCCTCCTGCTGTGCCCCTGACTGTGCTGCTACCACTGTCCTCACCTTCAGAGCCTCTGAATTTGAGGAGAGGAATGTGCCCCGTGTGTTCTGGGAGTTTCAGAGGCGGCAGAAGTGGAAGAGAGCAGAGCTTTTTTATCTTCTGCTCAGCTCGGAGCAGCCCCTCTTCCTGGGAAGTTCAGTGGAGTGGCATTCCAGAGGTGATGTAAAGAAGGGGGATTTATGTCCTGCTGTTAAATACTTTCCAGATCTTTCTGTTCCTATGCTGCCCTGTGTGCCCTTCCTTCTCCTCTTTTGGAGCTGTCTTTTCCCATCCCCCCCAAAATTTTAGCTTTTCGAGGCAGCCATCTCAGTTTGCCGCAGGAGGTGACCTGAAGACACATTTATTAATCAGTATAAATTTACTCTGCTGTTCTAAGCTGCCCAGCATTGCTGTCCTGTGGAGTATTTCCCAATGCCTGGATAAACCCTCTCCATCCAGGCCTGTCCCTAAAGGAGAGAGGAGCAGGTTATCACCTCCCACCGACAGCAAGTAAAATCCTTTTACTCTCTGCTTCTGTTTTCGCAGTGGAAGAAAAATGGTAAATATTAGTCCAACCCATCCTAACCCCTAATTCCTGGGAGAGCTGAGCACATACAGACCCTCAGGAGGAGCAATTTGGGAGCGCAGAGGCCAGCAGGGATGACCTGCTGACGCCTGTTTACTGGTGCTGCAGAGCCCAAAATAGCTCCTGCATTTCCTTTTAAGAGAGGTTGATGTGAGGCTCTGGGCCACGTTCCCTGGAGGTGTGAGCCAGCCTTTTGGGGTTGTTTGGGAGAACCTCAGCCAAGGTTCTGTGGAGCTGTTAAATCTGTGTTGTTTTGGGGTTTTTTTTCTGTGTATCACTAACTCACCTTAATGTTCGTTTTCAGCGTTGTTGCAGCGTCTGAAGCACAGAAGAGGCTTTTATGTGGAGCTCCAGAACAGCCATCACCTGGAATTTGTAGGCTTCATGCTTTGGAATGCAAGTCAAGCAGAGTGTGGGATTTTGTTTCTCCTGGATGGCTGCAGGAAAAGCCTGGATTAATTATCATTTAGTGTCACCCAGGATGAAAGACAAGGACTCCACGTAGTAAGGTAAATCCTGCTTTTATCTCCGCGTGCTCAAGGCAAGAAATCCCAGGCAGGTGATGTCACAGCTCCCTGGGATTAGGTAATTCCCGAAAATTGCATCCAAATCTGCCACTGAGATTATGGAGCACTCTGCCTTTTCAGCAGGCAGGGTTTATAGCAATTACAACAACAACAACAACCCAAACACTCTTGTTGAAGGTGAGATAATCCAATTTAGATGAAAGTGCTGGGACTGACATTCCCATTTGAGTTACACAGGCTGGGAAAAGTTCAGCAGAGCTGGAGGGACGTGGGTGTGTTTGAACTCTCCGAAGGGTGAGCTCTGAGGCTGTGGGGTGGCCTGTTGCCATCAGCCTGCGTTTAATTAAAAGCCTGACAATACACACCAGGGGTGGCCTGGGAGAGATCCTGACCCGCTTCCAAAGGGATGAGGAGTCTGGAAGCATTCCTTGAGCTGACCTGGGGCTGGCTGAGGGGGCTGACAGGGGGCTGACTGTGATGATTTTTTTCCGTGTGGGTCTGACGAGACAAAATTCCTGTGACTTGGATCAGTGTCGGGGCAAGGGTTCATATCCCGCACACTGAGACGTCTTTGACACCCTCAGGAATTTCTCTGAATCCCTTTTGAGGAACAGAGATAAACATTTGACTCTGATCTTTCTGTGCTGGGTTTCTCGTTACTGCCTTGTTAATCCCCAGCTCCTGCTAAGCAAAGATCTGAGAGGAATTTTTTACCTTCCAGCCTTGCTATCTCCCAGTGCATCTTGTAAATCGGACTGGATACACCAGTTTCTGGATTTAACTTGGGATTTGCTTAGACATGAAATTAATTCAGTGGCAGGATAGGGTATGAATTTGAAATGCAATAGCAGAAACTGCTAGAGCTGCTTCAGGAAATGTCACTGATAGGGCTCACTTTCCCTTTTTGCCTGGTGGAAAAGGTCTTTTTTTTCTTCCTTAGCTGTTATTCCCCAGTCAAAGTGGGTTTTTTCCAAGTGCAGTCAGTTTTGTAGGAAGGGTTTTGGGGCCCTGCTTGGCACACACCCTTTTTTCTCAGGCACAGGGTGGGATTGCTGGGGTGTCCTGTCCACGGCCAGGAGTTGGACTTGATAATCCTCGTGGGTCCCTCCCAGCTCAGCATCTTCCATGATTCTGTGATTCCAATGTCATGCTGCTTCTGCTGTTAAATTTCCAGGGAAAAGGCCGTGATGGATAACACAGTTAAGGTGAAAAAGATTGAGAGCTGATCATGGCCAGGGCTTGGCTTGTCCCAGGGAGCCACAGGCACAACAAACTCCTGGATCACTTAATTCTCACCTGCTTTTCCTCGCTGAAAAGCACATCCCTGTGCATTGCCTGCTCCCACCTGTCAGGTGATGGGAACTGCAGCCTCTTCCAGCGTTCTCTCCCTGTCCTACCCTGTGGAAGAGGCTGGTGAGAGGTTCCTGGGAGTTTTCATCAGGGATTCACTGATTGTGGATGTGCAGTGGGATTTTCTCTGCTCCTCTTTGGACCTCCATCCATCTTCTTGTGATGGGCTGAGGCATCCAGTGCTTTTCACTGTTGCTCTCTGGGGATTCTCCCAGTTCAGCCTCTTCCCAAACAATCTTTACCAAGGTTTTAATTTTTGGGGGAAGGCTGGGTGGTGGGGTGTTTTTCCTACAGTGATCTCCCCTGCCCTAGGATTTGACAGGGAAATTTTTAGGCTCCTTTTGCACGAGTGGCTGTGCCAAGGAGACTCCAGGGAATGCCTCGTGACTTGGCAGAGCAGCTGGGAGATCCATGGAGGAGGAGGAGGAGGAGGATGGGAGCAGCTGCTGGTCCCCTGTCCCTGCCAGCTTTGACAGGGGCTGTCTTTGCAAGGGTTTGGCCACAAAGTTTGGGGCTCCTCTCCAGACTTGGCTTTAAATGGGTACCAGGTTTATTTTGTTGCTGGTCTGGCACGTTTGTTGGGGGAGCTAACAGCTGGAAAGGGCCATTCCTGAGCACTGAGAATGTTTTCATCTGTTGATTTTGTTCAGGGCAGATTAAAAACTGACTGTTCTCCCCCATCCTTTTTGCCCTTTCTCCAGGGCTCGGGCAGGGAGCATTCCTGGGCTTTTCCAGCTGATTTCCCGCAGTGGCTGTGCCTTCAGCACCTGCAGCTGTTCCAGCACTGCCTTCCAACCCCTTGGCATGTGCTCCCACTCTAAATCCTTTCCATGGATTATGGATCACGAGCCAGGAGCCTGACAGAGGTATTGTGCTTATGTTTCCAAGAAACTTTCCTTCTATTTCCTGAAGGTGGGGTGTTCCCCCCATGTCCCAAAAGGGAGGAAGGAGTGGGGAAACGGCAGCTGCTGCCTTCAGCTTTTCCAAGAGCAGCCCCTTGGATGGAGGAGGAGAGAGGAACTGTCTTGTTGCCACCTGGATTGGAGGGTCTTTGAGGTGGGGAGGGGGAGCACAGCTCGCAGGTGGGGAGTCATGGAATTGTGGAATGGTTGGGTTTGGGATGGACCTTAAGGATCATCCAGTTGCCATGGGCAGGGACACCATCCACTGGAGCAGGTTACTCATTGGGGTGGGTGTGTCCTTTGGGGAGTGGGATGGAGGGATGGATGCGGGGATGGATGGATGGACGGATGGGGGGATGGATGGATGGACGGATGGGGGGATGGATGGATGGACGGATGGGGGGATGGATGGATGGATGGACGGTGTGGGCCTTAGCCGGTAGGAACTACAAATCCCAGCAGCCTCTGCTGCCCCCGCAGCCAATCAGCGGCGCTGCCGCGCTACAAAACGCGGGCGCGGGTTCCCTCCCTTCTCTTTCCATAATGGCGGCGGAGTGGGCTGGCAGGGCCAGGCCCAGCGGGGCCATCCATCGCCATCCATCGCCATCCATCGCCATCCACCCTCCCCGGGGCTCCCCCGCCGCCCGGCCCAGCCGCACCGGCTCCCCGTGGGCACCGCGCACGGCCGGGGCGCTTCGGGGCGCTCCCACGGCCGCGAAGGGCGGCGCGACCTTGATCCGTCCCGGGCCGGGCCCGGCCTGGGTGAGTGAGGGAGGGACCCCCGAGGCTGAACCAACCCCAATCCCGGGGCCCCCCGGGCCCGTCCGGCCCTATCGAAGCTGCGTCTGTCGGTGCTGTGGCAGACGCGGTCAAAAAGGAGCCGAGAGCGAAGGGATTTTCCCCGACGGTCGCCGCTCAGTTGGAACCTCCGTAACTGTCCGGCAACATTTCGGGAAAATACACGGCCCGGGTGGGGCTGGAGCTGGGTGGGGATGGAGGATTGGCGCTGGAAGGAAGCGGCTGCCCCGGATCGCTGCTCCTGGGGTCGGAATTGCTGCACGGGGAGGTGGGAGCGGGCGGGTATCCCGCCTTTCTGTTGTTTTAAGATGCTTTGTGTACCTGAAGCTCAAGGCTCTGTTCTTCCCCAGCAGCATCCTGGTGATCCCGGAGTGTGGAATGGCTCGTGGCAGCCTCGCCCTGGCAGCGTTGGGCAGGTGAGGTGGGAGATCCAGGCCCTGGATTCTCCTTTAGGCTGGGAATTGGGGTGGTTCCGTGGCCTCCCTGGGCCAGAGCAGGGACCAGCAGCATTTCCTGCCCCTCTGCTCTAGGATGGTGCCAGCATGTCCTTGTTCCAGGGATGTGGGTCCTCTGCTGGGCCCTGCAAGCTCCCCTTAGTTCTTGTTCCATCGAGATCGTGTGTGTGGGATAAGGGCACTCCTCTCTCTGGGCCAAGCTAGAGGCAGAAAATTGAGACTAAACCCTGATCCAGAGCCAGCAGATCACTCTGTCACAGGCTTTCCTGGACGAGCTATATGTTTATCTGCATGTTTATCCAAGAGCTGTGGCTCCACACAGTGGCTGCAGGTCTCCAACAACATGCCAGAGCAACGGGAAGGTCTTTGACTGCTGGGCCTCCTCTGCCCGTGGCTGTCACTCGCCCCTCCTATATATTTTCGGGAAGTGGGCTGTTCCTTGTGGCTTCAGGGTGGGATGAGTCAGGGATGTGTCCACGCGAATCTGCAGCCTGCAGCTGATTTTTTTTTTTAAGGGTTTTGCGATGTCTTCCAGGATTCCTGGGTGTTTCAGAGCTCACCTGCCTGATGGATAGACCCCAGGTAGGAACGTGGTGTCCGTGTTGGAGCTCCACAGCTCATCCCTCCAGTTCCCTTTCCCATTAGATCTGAATACCGATCTTGTGGTCGAAAAAGGAGGAAGAGCAAAAATTCACCCTGGTCTAGGGCTCTCTGCGGGTGTGTGTCCTGTCCTGAGAGGGGCCAGTGGGAAGACAGGCAATGCCTGCCTTGTTCCTTGGGGAAGGCTGGGTGGGAGGGAGGGGAAACTCCTGCTCGGGAGAAGGGATAAATGTTGGACAGGGGTGTTGTGGTGGGTGGAGGGAGGGGGTCTGAGCCATGGATTTACAGTGACCCTTCAGCTTCACTCTGGCTCTGTGCTTCCAGGAATCAATTCAGTGAGGAAGACTGAGAGCTTGTGAACCCTCTCCCAGGGGGTCTGGTTTGCTTCATGTGGAGAAGCTGCAGCGTGGAGCGAGTGAGTGTCCTGGTGTTGGCTGGGCAGGAGGTTTGGATCAGACATCGGGAGGAAATCCTTCCCTGGGAGGGTGGGGAGGCCCTGGCACAGGTCGCTCAGAGAAGCTGTGGCTGCCCCTGGATCCCTGGAAGTGTCCAAGGCCAGGTTGGAGCAGCCTGGGCTGGTGGAAGGTGTCCCCTCCACCCATTTGAGTGTTTCCCTGTGGGCAGTGCCTGGGTGAGCTCAGTGGCAGCACAGCCTGGTCTGTGATGACTCCTGTTTTTCTGGAGACTGTTGGATGAGTCCTGCGGATATGGGGCTGAGGCCAGGCATGAGCTACCCCAAAACCACTCTATGGGGTGAGGAGGGGACAGCCAGGAGGTCCTGAGTGCGGGTGGGATCTGGCGCAGCACCAAGCTGGGCTGCTCCTCACTCAGCAGGATTATTTGTCCCTTTTTTCCAGGTCTTAGCAGAGCATGGAGCTGAATTGAGGCCATTCCTGAGGGATTCGTTACTACGTGGTACTTTCCCAGCCCTCCAGCAGTGGGAGCTCTGCAGAGCCAGATCCCGGCTCCTTCCCGAGCCGTGAGTTCCTCTGAGTGGGATCCACTCCTGGGCTCCACTCACTGGCGTTGCAGGGACAGGGAACTGCTTTGGCTCCTGGTGCTGCTCAAGATCCTGTTTTGACACTGCCTGGAAGAACAGTCCCTTCTGTGGAGTTTCCTCAGGAGTGGAGTTATTTAATATTAGTGGATATTAACTCTTGGAGGCTCAATAAACACAATTGCTTGAAATCCTTGTGGTGTCTCCCACGTTTGGTTTGTGCTGGGATGGGGTGAGGCTTGGCTGGATGCTCTGAGCCTGCCTGGGGGTGATCAGTGCCAGGGGTTCTTTGGTGATGCCAGGTGCCTGTTTTTTTATGATGGACGACCAGCAGGGATGTGGGGATCACAACAGCCTGGGAGTTGCCATTCCCTGTCCCTGGATGGCTGGGCCATGGCAAAGTCCCCCGGGATGACTTGGCTGTTTGGCAAGAGCACTTTTGCTTGGTGCCTCTGACCCCTTTTCCCTGCAGGGACTCCAGAGCCCCTTCCCTATGGATCCTGTCCTTCCCAGGATCTCAGGAGGGACAGCAGTGTGTCTGTGCACTCAGCCTGGCTGTCCCTTGGTCACCAAAGCCGGGCAACAGGACAGACCTGGCATGTGACAACGGCAAACAACACCCTGGGGACAGGAGGATGAGGCCAAACAGCCCGGGGGCAGGAGGATGAGGACAGAGAAGCGTCTCCCTCCTCCCGGGGCCGGTTTGTTTGTCTGCCCGCGTGACTGTGGGGCCAGAGCCGTCCCTGTCCCCAGGTGGGGTGGGGACAAGGGTGGAGACCTGTCCGTGTCACCGCCAGCACAGCAGAGTCAGGATCCAGCCGGTTATGGGGACGGTGACAGGTCCCTCCCAGGACCCCGACCCGGGGGGACACTTCCAGTTCCGCGTCATCGTGCTGGGGGACGCGGCCGTGGGCAAGTCCTCTCTGCTGCGCTGCTTCGCCGAGGGGCCGGGGGGCAGTGCCGGGGGCGCGGCCACCCCCGGCCCCACCGTAGGCGTCGAGTTCTACAGCCGGACCGTCCCGGTGCCCCCCGCGGGCAGGGCCAAGCTGCAGCTCTGGGACACGGCCGGCCAGGAGCGCTTCAGGTGAGCTGGGGACGGGGACAGCCCCCACGCGGGACCACAGACCCAGATCAGCGTCCCTCCTACCCTGGGGTGGGTGTAAATCCCCGCCGGGCGTGCGGGGACCCGCAGTGATGCCCCGCTGGGACAGCGACGCTGTAGGGGACAGTGAAACCTTGGGCTGAGCTTGCAGCGACTCCAGAGCCGGTTGTTGGGAGGCAGCCAAGGGAGCAGGGCTGGGGGAGAGTCCTGGGATGCTGCTCCGGGACTGCTGGTGGGCTGGGGCCGGGTGGTTTCTCTCCTGATTGCATCAGGAGCTCCTGGGAGCGTGAAAGAGGCTCACAAGGGGCTGGAGAGCCGGTGCCCGACTGGACCGGGGGTTCCATGCTCTCCGCGTCCCTGGAAGCCCTTCTAGGGCCCCAGGGTTGGTCTGGGGGTGCTGCCCCTTCCCCACTGCGCCCCGGGCTGTCGGGGGGGATGGAGGGACCCCAGAGCCCCTGAAAAACACACAGGCTTCTGGATTGGGAAGGGGGATGCTGAACAGAAAGGCAGGGTGTAAACGGCCCGGGCAGGTCTCCTTTCCCACTCCTCAAGTCCCAACCGGCACCCAAAACCCCCCTCAGCCCCATCCCGGGGATGTGAACGCGGGGGCTGCCCCAGTGGCCCCCCTGGAAACGCCCCCCTGGGCGTGCCCAGGTCCATCACCAGGTCCTTCTACCGGAGCGCGGCGGGGGTGCTGCTGGTGTTCGACCTCACCAACCGCGCGTCCTTCGAGCGCGTCCCCGAGTGGCACCGCGAGGCCGCGGGGGGCGGGGACCCCCCTGCATTCGTCCTGGTGGGGCACAAGTGCGACCTGGAGGCCGAGAGAGCCGTGTCAGCAGAGGAGGCCGGGCACCTCGCCGCCAGCCTGGGCATGGCCTTCGTGGAGACCTCGGCACGCAGCAACCTCAACGTGGACTTGGCCTTCCAGATGTTGGCGGGGGGCATCCAGGAGGCCCTGGCACGGGGGGTCCTGGCTCCTCACCGGGGCTGTGATGGCATCAGGCTCATCCCCAGCCGGAGCCGCCGCCGGCCCCCGGCACGGGGGGAGCCCCAGGAGCGCTGCCAGTGCTGATGGAGACAGGGGGGACACGAGACCCTCCACCCAGGACCCTCCGCTCAAAGGGATGTTTCTCTCTCCACCCATGCTTGGGTTTATTTCAAATCTTAAATCTGGGGCCTCTGAAAAAAATGATGCTCTGCTGTGGGAGTGTTTTTAATAAACCTGAGGTTTTTCCACGCTAAATAAAGGCTGTGCCGAGCGCCAGACACCAGGCAGGGACACAGAGCTCAACCCACGGCATGGGGGATGCTCTGACTGGGAGGTGAGGTTGCTGGTGGGGTTACGGCCCCCCTCCTCAGGTCTGTGTCACTTTTGGGGCCTCCTGTCACTGGGAAAATGGAAGCAGGAACCCCCCAAGTGGTTCCAGCTGGATGGAGCCAAAATAAAGGGAGTGAAGGGGTTCCAAAGGGGCCACCCCTGGGAAAATGGGACCTGAAACCACATCCAGCTGGATGGAGCCAAAATAAAGGGAGTGAAGGGGTTCCAAACCAGCACCCCTGGCTCTGGGAACGCCTCCTGGGTGGAGGAACTCCCTGCCTGCCCGGACACGCGCCTGGCGCGGGGGCGGCGGGGCCCGGCACCGGCAGAGGCACCGATGGAGCCGCGGTGGCAGTACCAGTTCCGGGTGATCATGCTGGGGGACTCCACGGTGGGCAAATCCTCCTTGCTCCGGCGCTACACCGAGGGCACCTTCCTGGACGCCATCAACCAGACGGTGGGGGTGGATTTCTACGTCCAGTTCGTGGAGCTGGAGCCGGGGCTGAAGGTGAAGCTGCAGTTCTGGGACACGGCCGGGCAGGAGAGGTTCAGGTGGGTCCACGGGGTGGGGGAGGTGGGTGTCCCCCACCGGATTTGGGGTGGGATGATGTGATCCCGACCCCAGGGAGGTTCTGGGTGGGGCTGTTGTTCCTGCTGGTCCCTTTGGTGGGGGAGCCCCATGTGTGAAGATCCAGCCAAAGCCGGGGGAAAGGAGCACTTGCTCCAGCTCTAAAGGGGGTGTGGGCCCTGCTCCAAGCACTCCTCTGTCCCACAGCTGCAGAGGGGCAGGGGAAGAAGCTGGGAGCCCACTGGGAGCTGGGCAAAGTGGTTTTCCAAAGTGGTTTCCAGCTCAGCTGCCAGGAGCCTTCACACCTCACTGTGGGGCTGCCACTGCTGGCCGAGTGGCTGCTGTGGACAAGGGAACACAGAAGATGTGGCTGCAGGGGTGGGAAAGCTCCAGGACCATGGCCACAGGGGCTGGAGAGCTCCAGGACTGTGCCTGCAGGAATGTGGGAGCACTGGGTCATGGCTGCAGGGCTGGGAGAGCTCCAGGACCGTGGCTGGAGGGACAGGAGAGCCCAGGACCATGGCTACAGGGATGGGGGAGCCCTGGGGACTGTGGTTGCAGGGGACAGACGGGCTTTGGTGGCCGAGCAGGGACACATCCACCTCCAGAGCCCTCACTGACACAGCCAAAGGGTCGACTCTCCACCCTCTCCCGCTGCTTTGGGCAGGAGCAGCCCTGCAGGCAGGGGAGATGCTGCCCGAGGCGGCACAAGACACCCTGGTGGGGGCTGCTCACCCCTTTTTCCCATCTCCCCCCATCCCTCCCTCCCCAAGGTCCGTGACCCGCTCCTACTACCGCAACTCAGCCGGGGGGATGCTGCTCTTCGACCTCACCAACCGCGCGTCCTTCGAGAGCGTGCGGCGCTGGCACCGCGAGGTGACCGAGGCGGTGCAGCCCTTCGGCATCGTCTTCCTGCTGGTGGGGCACAAGAGCGACCTGGCCGGGCAGCGCCGCGTGGGCCGCAGGGAGGCCGAGAGGGTGGCGGCCTCGCTGGGCGCTCAGTACGTGGAGACCTCGGCCAAGGACGCCTCCAACGTGGCCCTGGCATTCCGGATGCTGACGGTGGCCATCTACCAGGCGCTGCAGACGGGCAGGCTGGCGGCCAGCGAGGCGTGGGACGGCGTGAAGAGCAGCGTGCCCCTGCCCGTGCCACCCAAAGCTCGGCTGCAGGAGGAGGAAGAGAAGAGGAAGAGGTGCTCGTGCTAGAGCCGGGGACACGAGAGGCTGCAACGCACTGGGATGTGTCCCCTGCTCCTCATCGGTGGAGTGCTCTCTGCCAGCCTTGTAATTAACTGTGAGAGTTGTTAAACAGTTTAATTGTAACAGTTTAGGCTCAGTATGTAAGATTCGGTGGTTAACGCAGCGGTTTGAGAAAGGAGAGGGAAATAACGTAGCAATAAAGTGAAATGAACGTTGCAAGGACCCTGAGGCACCCTCGTCCTCTGCACATTCCAGTGGCCAACCTGCCCTGGACTGCGGCTGCAGAGACAGGAGAGCTCCAAGATTGTGGCTGCAGGGGGGTTTGGGAGCTCCCGTTGCTTCAGCTGCCGCCCCTCTGCAGCGCTGCCTGAAGAGCACGAGCCCGTGCCAGGAGCTTAGATTAATAATTTCTTTATTCATGTAAAACAAACGCCAAGTATTTATATAAACACTGACATTACAAAGTACTGGAGCAGGAAGGGGGCAGGAAGGAGGAAACAAAAACCCCTACGGATGCTTCTAATACTGTCCCACACACGACCAAACTCTCTGTCCCTTGGGTAATCAATCTCTTGCACGAGAAACCACTTTCAAGTCACAAATAAAAGTCTCTCCTTGAGATGCGTCGCGCTCTGAGGAGGAACAAGGACAGGGGCAGAGAGTGTTTTTGGCAGATCTCCTCGTAGAGTCAAGATATTGCTGCACCATTAATAAAAAATAGATGCTTCTCTGTAAAGCATTAAAAAAAAAACAAAACATCCCACGGGTGACATCGTGGAGGCTTCAGTGGAGAGGCGAAATATCCCAAACTGCACTGGCGGCATCTCCCGGCTCTGCCCAGGGGCTATTTCTTGGTGGTTTTGCGGATCAGTGCCATCCTCTGCAACAAGGAAAGGGAAAAATGTGGGAAGCTGAGCAGCTCAGAGCAGGTGACTGCCCAAACCTGCAGGAGCGAGGCATCCCGGGTTGCTCCGGGGACGCTGCCTGACCTGCTCCCACACAGGTCTGTCAGGTCTGCTGGAATCCTGATGGGGTCCCAGGCTGGAGCCAGAGGAGAGGGAAGTGTCTGTGCTGCTCCCCTCAGCACCCCGGGGCACCAGGATCAAACCCCACCTCAAGGCCCCCCCTCTGTGCCCAGTGGGAGCTGCAGCATCACCCAGGAATCCTCCAGCTCTGCAGGGCAGCTCCTTCTGGCTCTCACTGTGCACTTCAAAAGCAATGGATTTATTCAGTTTAAAGCAAAATTAAGGGTGTTTTCAGTCCCTGTGCACAGAGACAGACCTGCCAGGGGCAGCTGAGAAGTGCCTGTGTGCAGCTCCCAGCTGGTTTTAACCCTCCCAAGCTCCTCAGATTTGTGCTCTTAGGGCACAGTCAGCACTGCAGAGGAGCCACAGCAACCTCGACCCTCTCTGCACTAACAGGCCAGGAGGCTCTGGGAGTCATTTCAAGCCCAAACCACTTGGAGGAGGCCGCAATTTCACCACCTTCCCCATATCAGCCACGTGATTCCCACCGTTCTGAGGGCCCCTTTACCTGTTTGTGAGCTTCTGTAGTGCAGGCTTTTTTGTAGGGCCTGATTTCTTCGGAACCAAAGCCCGGGATCCACATGTTCCACTGGCGCTCTGGAATCACAGAAGGCTTTGGGTTGGCAGGGACCATGGAGCTCATCCAGCTCCAACCCCCTACCACGGGCAGCCCTGCTTTATCCAGCCCAGCACCACAGCCTGACCTCGGGAAGTGCCCCTGGGACTCAGCTGAGGGGAAAAAATACCTGTAAAACTCACTCACCGAGGTGCAACTGGACGTCCTTGACCTCCAGGGTGTTGGACTTGCGGTGCCGCGCGAGCTGGCAGGCGGCGGTGACCACGCTCTCGATGAAGTCATCGGCGATCTGCAGCAGCATCTGTGGGGAACAGGGGCCACAACCAGCCTGGTCAGCTCAAATTATGTGGGAAGGATGAAAACGAGCCCTCAGAAGTTGGTGTTTCGAAGCGTGGAATGCTCCGAGCTGGAAGGGACCCACAGGGATTGTGGAATTCGAGCCCTGGTCCTGCACAGACACCCCAACAATCCCACCCTGTCCCTCAGAGCGTTGTCCAAACCCTCCTGGAGCTCTGGCAGCCTTGGGGCTGTGCCCCCTGCCCTGGGGAGCCTGTTCAGTGCCCAACCAGCCTGGGGGGGAAGAACCTTTCCCTGAGATCCACCCTGAGCCTGCCCTGACACAGCTCCAGCCATTCCCTGGGGGTTGTCCCTGCTCACCCAGAGCAGAGATCGGAGCTGCCCACCAAGTGCCCTCAGCCACTCCTCATATGGCCCCTCCTGACCGTTCACCACCTCTGTGTCCCTCTTTATGTCCCTCTATTATGGCTTTATATCTTTTTTATATTGTGGTGCCCCAAACTGTATTTCCCCCAGGACTGTTACCTCACAGCAACACAGCCTTTTTGGCACTGGGGACACAGAAAGGCAGGGATGGCTGAAGGCTGCAGGAGAGCACAGAGGTGTCAAATGAATCGTGACAATGCCTGTGAAAACACCTAGATGAGCTCTTTGTGCAGCCCCTGCCGTGGGTTGTCACCCACCTCCTCCACATCTTCATCCAGCTGCTCGTTGGGATCCACCTCTCGCACCAGGTCCTGCAGTTTCTTCTTGGTTAAAACCTGAGGGTGTGGGAGAAGAGGAAGGATTTACTGCCCTGCTCCAGGAAAACAGCAGCACAGCCACAAACACGCCCCTCCCCCGTGCCCCCAGGGCCCGAGTCACGCTGTTGACACAGTCTATCAGCTCAGGAATGGCAGGGATAAGGAATATCAGGTGTTAAGGAGTCATTTTGGAGCACCAGGGGTTGCTCTGGGCAGAAAGGGGAATGCAGCTGCCAGGATAAATGTCCCCAGCACTAAACTGGCACCAAAATGCTGCTGGCAAGGGGAGGGGGAAAGGCAAAACTACAAGTCTTAAGGGGAAGACAACAAGGGTAAGCAACCTA